AAGATTGCAGCATGCACGTATTTTACACGTTGACGTGGAAATAGAACGAACGCTTTACGATTTTCTTTTTTCTTTTTCTTTTTTTTTTTCTGGCCCCCCATTCAGTTCCGATCGACGGAGTAGTAGCGATAGTAAATCACCGAACAGGAATAAAGAAAGAAAATCTTCTTGGTGGGATTCGGGAGAATCGTTGGATAATTCGGGACGTAAAACGTCAAAATCCTCTGATGATAAATCAAAATGGTGGGGTTCGACGGAATGGTTGTTGTTGTTTAATAAAAACGATAAATCTCCGGGAAAAGGAAACGGTAACGAAAAAACAAAATGGTGGAGTTCGACGGAAGGGATTTTTTTTAATGGAAAAGATAAATCCACGAATCGCGACGACGACGACGATGATGATGCGTCGTCGAAAAAATCCCCGGAAAGTCATGGCACGAGTACGTATAATACGTTAAAAACAAACAAAGGCAAACAAACGGATGAAAGAACAAACGATGATGTTTCATTTTATAAAAAATGATTGTTTTTTTAGTCGGTTTGAAAAACGAAATGAAAACAACGACGGGAACGACGGGAACGAAAAAAAATTCTGGAGAGGGATTTATGAAAATTAAAAACAAAAACGAAAGAAGGAAATCAAATCCGAATAGTAATAATATTAATAATAATAATAATATTTACGGTACCGATAATAATAATATTAGTAATAAAGTTGAAAATGGCGAAAGTGAAAAAAAATCGACTGGAAAATTACATGGGAAAATAATTGGAAAAGCGGAAAAATTTTTACAACACAATGCGAAATATCTCAACCTACCCGTGTACGAAACCAAATCCGTACATCCGATACCTGAAAAAAAAACTAGGTGGGCGTTCAGAATTATTATTCATTTTTATTATTATTATTATTATTGTAGAAAGAAAAGAATAAATAACGTGTGACAATTGTTATCATTATTATCATTATCATTATCGTAATTTTATTATTATCCGTTTTGAAGAAAAACGAGCTGTTTTCTCGAGGTTCCCAAACCTGATGATGTTATTTTCGGTGGTAAAGAATTTAGAACCAGGTCGAAATCATTGGACGATGGAGATTCTAGAAAATTTTTAACGGATTGCGAAACGACGTACAGGATATACGAAACCATAGTTAAGGAGGGTGAGTTGAAATGATGAGTTTAGCGCGAACGCACACGAGCACGTGCGTACACCCCCCCTCCCCTCCCCCTCCCCCTTCCCGCCTCCTCTTTTATTAAAAGAAATACAATAATGATGGTAATAATAATAATAATAATAAAATGGGTGTGAAAATCGTCACGACGAATCATTAATCAATTAAGGTTGCCATTTCGATTGTCAGAAAATTGAGTGAGATGTAATGAATGTGTGGGTGTGCGCGTGAAAATGGTTTATACGAAACCCTCGAATATGCTATAAACAAATGCGAATGAATGAATGAATGAATTGGACACGGAATGGTTGTATAAAAAAAAAAACGCGTAAGTCTGAACTTTGGGATTTGGAAAAATGTTTGAAACATTTACTAAAGAGACGGAAATGACGTCATAAAACAATATTTTTCAAATTGTTTTGTAGATTAATTTTTTTCTCTTAGACTCAGGTACGTGCCTTAAGCGTTACGCACGTTTAGGTTTTATCGTACGCGCGTATAAGTGTAACAAATACGACGAGATAAGGATGTGTGAGAGATTATGGGAGGAGGGGGAGGGTGGGGGAAAAAAGAAAATCAGGTTATTCTTCGATTATTTTTTGTTGTTGTTGTTGTTTGTTGTTTGTTGTATTTATTTTTTAAATTAGTTCAGAATCGTAAAGATAAGGAAGATGAAATTGCGGGAAAATGGTTACTGAAAGTTTTCATAAATACGTCATCATTCGATTTTCTTTTATATATATTTAATGTACGTGAGATTGCTGAGAATTTAATGGCGTTAATTTGAAATAGTGTCATTATTATTATTATTATTATCATTATCATCATTCCTGTTTATCGGTCACGTTTTATTAATGAGATGAAAATATTTTTTAAAATTTCCCCGTACATTTTTCCAGAATTATTAATAATAATCGATGAATGAATGAATGAATGAATGAATGGATGAATGAATGGATGAATGAATGGATGGATGGATGGATGGATGAATGGATGGATGAATGAATGAATGGATAAAGTTTATGGATAAATGTTAAAAGGTTTGTCGAATTTTTCCAGGTGCACTTCTCAGGAGGAGTTCTTTGGATCCCGAAAGGAGAAGATTATCTCTCGGACCGGTTAATTCCGCTCATGGACCACACAGAGCTTCTGATGCTTTTCTAGATCCCCATCATGCCGCAATACTTTTCAGAGATTCAAGAGGGGTAAACATTTATTTTATTATCATTATCATCATCATCATTATCATCATCATCATCATCATTATTATTATTATTACTATTAATTAATTAATTAATTAATTAATTGATTTATTTATTTATTGAAAAAAAAAACTTTTGGTAACGTGTCACTAACGTCGAAAAAGTAGGGGGGGAGGGAAAAAAAAATTAATTTCCGCCATTTTTTTTTTATTTATCCTTGAAAAAAAAATTTTTTCTAACGTCACTTTTTTGTTGTTGGCTTTTTTTTCCTTATCTCCTGCCACGACGTTTTATTTCGATTGTTTATTTTTAAACATTGTCTATTTATCACAAATGTTTCGATTATTATTATTATTACTTTTCTCTCTCTTTCTCTTACTCTCTCTCTCCCCCCCCCATCTTTTCCTCACCTCATTTCGAGATTTGTTTGTTTTTTTTTTTTACTAATGATTAATCGATTAATCGAACCTGTTTTTTTTTTTTGTTTCAGCTTCCAGTTGCCGATCCATTTTTGGAAAAGGTCAATATGTCGGATCTTGGTAAGAAAATTTAAAAATTTTATTTACTTTTTATTTATTTATTTTGAAATCATCACGTGTGAATTATCGAATTTTCGAGATGTTTATAAAGTCGTAAAAGAAAAAAAGAAAAGGAAAGAAAGAAAGAAAGGGAGAGTGAGAGGGGGAGAGAGAGAGAAAGCAACAATTTTTCCGACAGGTTTCTTTCAAATTTTTTGGCAGCCATATTTTTTTTTTTTTTTCGTTATTGTCGTGTTTAAAAATTTTTTACAGCCAAAAATAACGTGTTTGTTGTTGTTGTTGTTGTTGTTTCCCCCCAATGCCATGGTCTAATTAGATTTGGTATTTGTCGTTTGACCGATTTCTACCACGTTATATTGCTTGCTTCCACGTTTAAAAATTTAAATTTTCTATTCGAAATTTTGACAAATGATGACGTAATCATTGTATGAGGTGATCGGCCAAACTGAAAATTTTTTTTTTGTTTTAGCCAATCCATGGATTTTTATTTTTTGGCTTCTCTTACAACGTTTTTTTTATTTTTTTTTTTTTTAGTCGGATTCTAGATTTTTCGTCGGACGTTCCCGTGTTTTTCTTTTTTTCTTCTTTTTCTCGGTTGTTATTATTATTATTATTATTATTTAATCGACGCCAATTTATTTTTGGGATTTTTTTTATTTTTAGTTTTCGCTCTCTCTCTCTCTCAAGTCAAGTGTCAGTGAATAAATAATTTTCTGTTTGGTTAGGTTATGTATTTACTAATACAAACGTGTATAGTACATTGGTTTCGTTTTCGATTCCTCGATCGTATCGATATATCGATTTGATTTCGAGTTTTTTATAATTCAAAAAAAAAAATCTTTTTCGATTCGTCATGACTTTTTGACTCTTTACAATAGGAAAAAAAAAAACGTGGAAACAGAAAAAAAAAAAAAAAAAAAGGGTGTGAATAAAAATAAAATGGTTTTTAAGAATGATAGCTTTTCATTATTATTCAAACGCTTTCGGTTTTCAACTTGATACAATCGACGAAGAAGACGAATATGCATTAGATAAAATAAAAGAATTTGAAGAAATCGATCCGGCATGGCAGGAAACATTATGTTCTTTGCTTCAAGGTATTTTCGATTTAAACGTTTAAATAAAACGATCGAATCCGTTGTAATTTTTCTAAAATGAAAAACGAAAATTGGATTTTCACCTTATTGTCGATTATGTAATTATTTATAATGCGACATCTACCGAGTGTTTTTTAAATTAAAAATTTTAACGAATCCTCGTTAAGGAATAAAATTTAAATTTAAGCGTTGCCAACTTTGTTTGCGTTCGATTGATTGTATTACTCTATGCTCTGTTGTTGTTGGTCGGTTTTCGCGTTTTGTTTTGTGCATTTTCTTTCTTTCTTTTTTTTAAGTGTTAAATTTTAATGGAGACCGTAGAAATGGGAATTTTCACCGAAATAAGTAATCGAATATTGATTTCCGATATATCGAAAAATGTAATTCATTTTGAAAAAAGGTGGTGGGAGGGGAGGGAAGGGAAGGGAAGGGAAAAAGGGTAAGCGTTTGTTTTTTTAACGTTTTTTTAATTTGATTGTTTTATTACAGAGGAAGATGAAAGTCAAATATTTGTTAAGTTTTTCCGTTTTCACAAATGTTACGACCTCATACCAACTAGTGCCAAGTTAGTCGTTTTCGACACTCAACTATTAGTCAAAAAAGCCTTTTTCGCCCTCGTTTATAACGGTGAGTTTAATAATAATAATAATGATTTCGTGTCATTAGTCAAACGTGATCAATTGATTGATCACTTTTTGGTTTTTAAGGTGTGAGAGCGGCTCCGTTATGGGATAGCGTAAAACAAAAATTCGTTGGAATGTTAACAATAACGGATTTTATAAAAATATTAAGAATGTATTACACATCGCCGAGCGTTACTATGGACGAATTGGAAGAGCACAAATTAGACACGTGGAGAAGTAATTATGAAACGTTATCATTATCTTGTTGTTGTTTGTTGTTTGTTGTTTGTCTGTTGCATGCATTCATGTTGTATCCCTTATCAGCCTATGTCTGATAACGCGCTCATTTTCGATATTTTATTTTCCAGATGTTTTAAAAGTTTTACCGTTGGTTTACATTTCTCCAGATTCGAGTCTTTACGATGCAATAAAAACGTTAATTAATAACCGGATACACAGGTTGCCGGTTATAGATCCGGAAACGGGTAACGTTTTGTACATACTCACTCATAAAAGAATTTTACGCTTTTTATTTTTATACGTGAGTATTTATTAGGGAAAAGAAAAGAAAAATTTTTTGGAATTTGAAACGTGTGTGTGTTAACGAACAAATGTTATTGTTTTTAAAAAAAATTTAGATAAACGATTTACCAAAGCCTTCGTACATGAACAAAACTCTGGGAGAACTCAAAATAGGTACGTTCGAAGGTATCGAAACGGCAACGGAAGACACATCAATTATATTAGCATTAAAAAAATTTGTCGAAAGGAGAGTGTCCGCATTGCCGATGATAGACAAAGATGGTAAACTTGTGGATATATTTGCAAAATTTGACGTCATCGTGAGTAAATCATCTCTCTATCTCTTTCTCTCTCTCTCTCCTTTTAACTTTATTATTATTATTATTATTATTATTATTGTTGTTGTTGTTGTTGTTAAAGAATTTGGCGGCTGAAAAAACATACAATAACCTCGACGTGTCTTTAAAAAAAGCCAACGAACATCGTAACGAATGGTTTGAAGGCGTTCAAAAATGTACCTTAGATGAAAAATTATTTACAATAATGGAGAGAATCGTTCGAGCGGAAGTTCATCGTTTGGTCGTCGTCGATGATTCGGATAAAGTCATCGGAATTATTTCATTGTCGGATTTGTTGTTTCATTTAGTTCTTAAACCCGGTGGTGAATATTTTTTTCTCCTTTATTTTTTTTTTGTTTTTATCCCGACGACGGGAAGCAAACAACCGACAAAATTTTTTACTTTTTTCTTTTTTTCTTTTTTTGCGCATGCGCGTTTGTTTCGATTGGAGAAGGTGAAAATGGTTCTGCCGCAGATTCGGAGAAAAAATCATTGCGTCAATCGAATCCGACTCAAAATACTACTCAGGAACCATCGGATACGATACCCGAAAGCGACAATGAAAACGACGAAGTCAATTCGGATGAACTGTCGGAAAAATTAAACGCAGCAGGTTAGCGTTCGGAAAAATTAATGAGAAAAAATTGTGAAATTTTTTGTTCGCGGGTTATCGGAGAAAAACGTTTATTACAGGTGACGGTTTGAGTTCGGGAACTACGTCACCACCTGCTTCCGGTTTAGGTTCAAGATCTGCAAGTACTAATTCCATGCTCAGAGATTCACCTACACCCGGACAACAATCGTCATCGGCGACGCAACCGAGTTTTAGAGAAGTTGCCGTCACGGGTGGAGAATAAATTTTTTTTTTTTTTTTCCATTTTGAAACTTTCGGGAAATCGATAAGCGGATAAATGAAGGAGAAGAAAAAGAAGAAGAAAAAGGAGAAAGAAGGAGGAAGAGAAAAAAGTGAAAGAAGACATTAAAAAAAAAGAAAATTTTTTTGTCGTCACTCCGTGATAATATCAATATTAAAAAAGAAATTACAAAAGGTTTTAATCGGGTATTATTAAATCGGGGGGTAGGAGGGGGAGGGGGAGGGGAGAGGCAGGGAGAAGGAGGGAAAAAGAAAAAGTATCGAAAGATATTATTAAAAAAAGAAAAATATAAACAAAAAAAAAATTTTTTTTTTTTTAAATCATAAAATTAATTATTTATTATTATTATTATTAAACATTTGCCCTTTATTTTCGCGTACTTTTTTTAAATAATAATTATTATTATTATTAATTAATTTCCAACCGTTAATTTTCAATCAATTTTTTAGTTTTTTTTTTTTGTTGTTAATTTTTTTTTTTTTGTTAAAATTAAATAATTTAATATGAACAAAAATTTTATTATTATTATTATTATTATTACTATTATTATTATTTTTTAATTATTTTAATTATTGCAAATGGTTCAATGAAAAAAAAAAAAAAAAAAAAAAAAAAGAATTTTACTTACATTAAAACTTTTTTATATATATATATAATTATTATTATGATTTGTATTTTACGCGTGGGAAAAAGTGTGTGTATGCACGTGCGCGAGAACACAAACACAACAAACGCAAATGCTAAGGCAAACACAAACACAATCGCGAATGCAACAAATTTTTTTTTTAATATTAACAAAAACATATATATAAAAAATTTTTCTAAAAATGATAATAATGATAATAAATATATATATATATATTTCTTAATAAAACTTTGTGAAGGAAGACGAAGGAAGAGGAAAAAGGGGTAGGGAGAGAGAAAGAGAGTGAGAGAAAGAGGAAGAGGGAGAGATAGAAAAAGAATCGAATCGTTTTTTTATTTTTTTTTTAATGCAAGTCATTATTATTATTGTTATCATTATTATCCGTATAGTATTATTATTATTACTTTTTTTTTTTTAAGCTTGCCAAAGTTTCTTTTTTTTTTTTTTTAACATTTTTCATACGCGATGATATTATAATGATGATAATAAAAATAAAAATATAAATAATAATAATAATAAAAATATAAATAATAATAATAATAATAATAATAAAATAAATAATCGGGAAGGGGGGGAAATTTAAACAATAATAATAATAATAATAATAAATAACGTGTTTATTTTCTCTCACGTAAATTTTTATGTGTTGTATTCGAAATGATTTTTCATTTTTTTTTTTTTTTTTTTTTTTGTTTAAATAAAATAATTTTATCACCTTGTAAATTTTTTCATTCATTCATTCATTCATTCGTTAATCATTTTTATTAAATTTGCATTTTGAAAAAAAAAAAAAAATGAGAATGATGATAATAATAATAATACGATAAAAATGACGGTTACATAATAAAAAAAATGAAGCAATGAATCAATTACCGTAATTTTTTTTTTTAGATTTTTTTCATAGAAAATTTTTAAATTATTATTATTATCAGTATTATTATTATTATTTCTGCTGTTGCTGTTGCTTTTCGTGCTTTTGTTCGACACAAAGGATTTTATACGTCACCGATTAATATAATTTTTTTCAAATGCAAATTTATTCATAAAAAATTTTTTAAATACACCGTCTTAGAAAAATATTATTATTATTATTATTATTATTATTATAATTAAAAAATTTATTTTGAAAAAAAAAAAAACAATCAATTCATTCAATCATTCATTCATTCATTCATTCAATCAATCATTCAATCACAATCATTTCTTGTTTGTAACGCGGCATTGGCGTTCTCTGTGTTTAAAAAAAAACCGTTTTTCCTACATAATTTTTATAAAAAAATATTTACAAAAAAACGATGACGTAAATCATAAAAAAAAAAAAAAACTAATTAAAAAATGATTCGCCATATTGATGATAATGATAATAATTAAATTTTTAAATATTTTATTGAGAAAAAAACAAAACAAAACAAAAAAAAACAGCTTAAACGTTACAATTGCGCTTTATTAATTAATAATTAATTAATTAATTCGATTTTAATAATCATAATAATAATAATGATAATAATGATAATAATAATGATGATGATGATAATAAAAGGATTCGTAATTTTGGTGCGACGTAAAATTTTTTGCAATTTTGATTAAAAATTGCGGCAAAAATTACAAAAGTTTTTTTTTTTTTTAATATAATATATATGAGAAGATAAATTTATTATTATTATTATTATTATTATTATTATTATTATTATTATTATTATTATTATTGCTTTTTTATTAATAATAATGATGATAAAATATGTTTGAAATTTTTATTTTATTTCATTTCATTTCAATTTTTTTTTTTTTTAATGTAAATAAAAAATGTTTTGTTTTTTTTATTATCTTTTTAAAAACAACCGGAAACCGTTTGAAAAATAATAATAATGATAATGATAATATTTTAATTTAATTTACAATCCCACGAATTGTTTTTTTTTTTAAATTAAATTGTCAAATTAATTATTCGTCAATTTCCATTTGCTTTATTATTATTTAATTTATTAAAACTTACAAAAACGTAGATTAATTAATTAATTGTAATAATAATAATAGTAATGAAAATCGATTTAAAAAAAAAAATTGTTATGGAACCGATCCGTGAAAGTGCCTTGACCGGAAGTAAATAAATAATAACGAAATCGTGAATTATTAAACTTCCTTCCGGTGCCGACGATTATTTACGCGGATAAAAAAAATTTCCTGCTTTCTCATTGGCGGATTCGAATCATTCGATTTCCGTTATTGACGATGACGTAAACGGTAGTTTGTTTGCATCAATCGACGCGTTTACATCGTTTATATAAATTAATAAATTAATAATTATTTTTAAATTCGGGTTAATAAAAGATTTCGAATCCGTTTTATTTATTTATTTATTAACTTATTTATTTATTATTTTATTTTAATTATTATTTAATAATTATCGGTTTAATAATATAAATGAGAAAAAAAAAAAAACGTTTTTTAAACACTTGTTGGTTTCGATTCGTTCGCGAATGAAAATTTTCAAAATTTTTTTCTTGCCAGGTAATTAATTAATTAATTTGTTATTCAAATGTTTTTGATTATTATTATTATTTATAAAAATTAACGATTGATAATAATAATAATAAACCACAATGAATAAAAATTATATTTGATTTGCGTTTTAAAAAATTAAAAATTATTTTAACGGTCGTTATTGATTTCATTGCACTCGAAAGAAAAAATAAATAATAATAATAATGATGATAATGGAGGAAAAGAAAAGAAAATCGTTAAATTATTTTGCTATTTCGGGTCATTAATGTGCTTTTATCACTGTAATAAAAACATTTCGGGTAGATAATTTAAAAATTAAAAAAAAAAAAAACTGATTTATTGCAAAGTCAGTTATTTATTATTATTATTTATGTATTTACTTAATTTTTTTTTTAATAATATTTATTGTTGTTATTTGTAGACGATTAAAAAAAATGAATGCAGTACAATAATTTATGTGCTAAAAAAAAAAAAAAAAG